TCTCTCTCTCTCTCTCTCTCTCTCTCTCTCTCTCTCTCTCTCTCTCTCTCTCTCTCTGTCTCATACCGTCTGCCTTTGGCATCGTTCGACAGCTGCAATGAACATCAATTTCTAACGAAAGCGAATATTCCATCCACCGAGCGTTATCGATTATCCTTCCACCCCCTATCCACCCCGGTTTCTACTCACCCCGAAGTAAATTACACTCGAAATAATTAACTCGGTAAACTCGCAAAGCGAATGTTAATTACCGTCCATGGTAATTAAAGATTATCGAAAGTCGAGTGGTAAATTGTGTTTGTATCCATTTCTGTCGTCTTTTAACGTGTGAACAAATGTGTGTATACGTGTAACTCATGTTCCACTTATTGATTATACGCGTTCATGATATTACAAAAGGAAAAACTTTAACAAAAATATATAAGTCTCAAAGGGAATAATAGACGGTTAATAAATCTGATGAACAATTTATTTAGAACTAGTTGTACGTTTCGTCCCTTACTGGGGACTTCATCAGCAACTTGATCATTTACAGTTCACGTGTCAATACATATTATCTTTTTTACAGAGTCATACGTTTCAATAAAACTTAACATGTTACAATACAATTTGATCCTAAAACACCTTATCTTATCACACGTAATCATATACTTAATTACAAGAATATTGATAATTAAATTTAACAAAAATTATTCTTTAAATTAATTATTCTCGGGGAGTGGCAAACTTTTTAATAGAAAAGTGAAATTTCGGAAGAATTTTTATTCTAATTGTAAGACTGTACCTATATACACACAACTTTTTGTAAAAAGTTACGCCCTATTTAAATTCTTGAATTTTATCGACGAATTTCTTAGAAGAAAGAAACAGAGAGAGAGAGAGAGAAGTTTGAAAGCGGAGAAAGTCAATTAAGAATAAGAACGACCAACCGAGATTAAAGAAAGTCAAAAGGAACTTGTCGTATTCATTAAAAAAAAACGTCTCATTTTAGGTTTATCGTTTTCCAACGACCAAACGAAATTTTCGTTTCGTATTTTGCAATATAAATTGTCGAAGTAGATTCATTGGTGGATTGAAATAAATCAAGGATGGGGGCTCGAATTATGCAACGGCAGGTTAAATCCTTTTGCAAAGGAAGAAACAATCTTGTCGTGAAAGTTTTCTATCTCTCTCTCTCTCTCTCTCTCTCTCTTTCTCTTTTGAGTGCAGATTGTAACTCGCTTTACCTTTATTCCTTTTCTTCTTGTTAGATAGTCGCGCGAGTTGGTGAGTATTTTTGGTACGATTGGTAGGAGGTGAAAGAAGAACAAGAACAAGAACAAGAAGAAAAAGGAGAAAGGGGAAGAGGAAGAAGGGGAGGAAGCAAGAGGAAGCTTCTCGGTTTCTTGCACTCGGCATTTTCTCAAGCTCTTCTTGTTTCAATGACGAGTCCGTCCTGTTTTTTGCTCGG